AGCAGCTCATAGTCATCTGGAAACCTTTTCCTGTCATTGTTGCTAACAGCTAGACATAGAGGCTGATTCTGCCCTTCTAAAAAAACTCCAATATTAACAGCAAGTGTTTTTTCTGTCTAATCTCATGTACATATGAATATTGTAAATGTTGATTTCAAAAGTCCTGGTCAGATACAGCAGCAAAAATGCTGACAATGAAACATGTGGGTTTAATGTTGGTTGTCCCCTCCAGACATTTGAGCTCCTCGCACAGTGTCTGGTCTGATTCTTAATTCAGCACTGCAGTGGTTCTTGACGTTATGTTCTGCTTGGAGCTTGTCTTTAGGAGGGAGGGTGGAAGGAGGAGAGTGCTTGCTGTCTCAGCCATTTAGGTGTATCTGTGAATGCACATGTTTTTGTCTCCCCCTGGCTTGCCTCTGTGATTTAATTATCTGGGCTTTTGTTCTGAAAGTGAGGGAATTGAAGGTACTCTGCTATGACTTATGTTTTCAACATCCCTTCAGGAGCAAAAATCATTGTTCGTGATTAAGGTGGAGTCTATGCAGTATGACATTCTTTCATCTATCCCACCCCAACCCTTTCTTTTTCTTTTCTTTCTTTTCCTTCCTTTACAAATCCTTCCATTCTCTCAGGATTTCAGCCTTATTAACTATGGTTTGGTGCACTTCATAGTAATTATTTCTTTTGACTTTTCTAGCACTAGGGACTGGCTTTTTCGTTTTCTTAATCCTTATTCTCCAACTTCGAAATAGTGAAGAGAACTATTGACTTATTGTTATATTAATAATAAATGCATCAAAGAAAAATTTTCACAAATGGTCATGTAAATGTCCTAGTGACATCAAGCCAGCTGTACTCTCCAGAGGCCTTATGTTCCCATTGTCTTGTGCAGAGAGTACTAATTGGAATTGAGTTTCTTTTTCAAATGTCATGGAAGAGGCATGTTTTTGAATTTAGCAGCTTGGGTGTCTGCTCTCAAAGCTTCTTGTGGCAAATTGTTCTTGCAGTAGCTGCAGTCATGCCAGGTTGGTCTTCTGGCAGTCTCTTGGTCTTGGTCCGAAAAGTCGCTTTCTACTTCTGAGACCTGCATCCCTTAGTCTTACAGAAAAGGACCACCAGAAAAGGAATGCATTTGGGGGTTCAATTCTATATTGTGAGAACAGCAGGAAAACATGTACCCTAGAGGTATCCTAACAGGGAAAGAGAGCAGAAAACAATGCTGGCTGCTACCATGGTGGCAGTGGAATCACAGGGATACAAAATAGTTGAACATTTTGTGGAATATGATCAATTTCTAGTACTTATTGTCAGAACTAACATCAAAATAAAATTTAAGTATATATAAAAAGTTTGCTACTTGCAGGCCATTGCTTACAACATCAAACTCATGTAGATTACTTTATCAATTGATGCTTTTCACACAAACTGATTGGTGTCTCAGTGTCAAGATTAAAGCCATAAGTACTTTTCCAGAAGAGCTCAGGTCCCAAGCTGAGCTTGTTCTAGGACTGAATATAATTGCATTGCAGATGTTTTATTCATTCCTACTTATTTTTCTCTTAATTCGCTCCAGAATACTTTAGCCAAGTGTGTTTGATTGTTGCAAATGTCATTAGGCTTGGAAATGATAATGAAGTGAAGGACTTCATGGTCCTTTTAAGTAGGTATGAACTATCTCAATTTGAGATAGTTTGATTGAATATCTCTACCATTGGAGATACTAGAGCCATCTGGACACGGTCCTGAGAAATCAGCTCTAGATGGGCCTGCTTGAGCAGGGAGATTGGACTAGATGACCTCGGAAGGTCCTTTCCGGCCTCAGCCATTCTATGATTTTGCGACCTATTTTAGGCATTTTGTGAATTTCTTTCTTTAAATTCCCCTGATTGTGATCACTTTAATTTATGCAAGACTTTGTGCTGAACTGCAGTTTTTGCCTCTGTCTCTGTGGCCTGTGTTTGTGTTCCCATTGGTGTTTTCGTGAAGCTGTGATATCTGATGGAGTGTAGAGGTTTCAGGTGGACATTTTCCTGTCACTGCCCACTTCTCCCTTCCTCTGTCCTCTCCCCCGTAACCCAAAACCCAGCTTCAGTCCACTAAGACAATTATTTCTCTTTTTACTCCAGCAATCTTTGAAAAAAATTAGTCAGAAGAGAGCTCTGGAGATCACCTGACTGCTGGAGAGCATCTTGAAAGTTAGGTCAGGTTGCTCAGGGAATTGTTCAGGTAAATTTTGGATTTGCATGAGTAAAGATTCACCACCTTCCTAGGGCTAAGTTGCAGTGTTTGTTATACTCCTCCTGAACATGCTGTTTGTTCCTTTGTGCTTAGCTGGAATTTCTCTTGCTGTGGCTTGTGACTGTTTCTTCTTGAGTGTCCACTGCATGCCTCTAAGAGGAGGCTGGCTGCTCAGTATTCCTTCCAAGAGAAAAACTGTTGAGGTCCACTCTGTCCCTTCCCTTTCTCTTCTTCTGGCTAAAAAAGACCAGTTCCCCTTAGGTTTTCCTTGCAGGTCACATGCCTTCAGCTGCAGCAGCCCTCTTGTCCACTCTGATTTGTTAGTGTCACTCTTGTATTAAGAGACCCAAGCCAGATACAATACCTCAGCTGTGGCTTCAAAAGTGCCAGGTGAGGGGAATAATCGCTTGTCTTGACCTCCTGTTTACATTCTTGATAGTGCATCAAATTGCTGTTAGTCCAGATCACTGCAAAGGCACTCTAAATTTTGCTATCTCTGAAGCAAGACAGAATATACTGGGATCAGTAGTCTTTGCAGCTAGTATATTCTTGTTCAGTGGCCAGTGATACACCAGATTTCCTACACAATAGTGTGTTCCTCTGCAAATAATTTTGGAAGCAGATTTGAAGAAACCTCACAGACACTCCCTTCACTGCATGTACATGTGTTTTTTCTGTGTTGTGTGTCTGGTGCAGGATATCTGAAATCTGTCACTTTGGGGCCCTGTCATTGTTGGTTTGTTTGGTTTATGAAGTAAAGTGCTAAATTACTCTCATACTGAGGAGTTGTTTGAACTTGTTTGGTTTGGGGGAGGGGGAAAAAAAGGTGCCATGGTCATAAATCCAAGCTACTGAGCTTTCTAGATGTTTTAGTTAGAAGTCTCTGTTTTTCATCATATGTCTTTGGCAAACTGGTTGCTGCTTCAACAACACAATTTGGTAATAAGTAGTAACAATTGGCAATGTCTCTGTATAAATGAGACTTTTTTTTCCACATAGCATTTCTTCTCTAACAAAACGTATTAGAGATGTTTTCTGTCTCGTTGTTGGGAGCTTTCCTGTGTGAGCCCTAATATGTGGAGTTTTGGCACAGTGACTCAGGCTGCTGTGGGCTAACATTTATGAGCAGTCAAATGAAAGGGGAAGCACAAATTCCTGGCACCGTCAGGTCAGTTTGGCAAGGTAAACTGCCTAAGTGCTTGAACTTGTAGAAATAACTTTCTGGCTTGGAAAGTATGGATTCATGAGTGATGCTGAACTAGTGTGCACAAGCTTTTAAAGGACCTTTTGTTTGATCAGTGCCTCTTACCTGTCAGCAAATGAGCAGAATTGCATTCATAAGAGCTTACTCACATCCTGCATCCTTAAAAATGAGAGAAAAAAGAATGGTTGGATTATGATAGTAGGAAACCAGAGAAGGGGTTTAGTGGTTGGTTACTGCATTTTTGTGACTGAAAACATCCAAACACTGCACTAATGTAATTAGTATTGCAAACAGAATATGGCAAATTTATAGCCATTTTCTCAGTGTTAGCATATATTTTTTGCTTCTCAGTCCTGTGCTATTCCAGGACTTATCTTCTCACTTCTTGATGTTAGTTTGCCTGATGATTTTATGTATCCCTGGTGAATGAAAGGCAGAAACCAGTTATATTTTTGCCAAGCAAAACAGAACTTGTTTCATATCAAAGGTTAGAAAAGGGACAAATCTGCTCCATGTCTTTCTTTTTCTCCCTTCCCTCTAACGTAATGACAATAATAAAATGAAAAATCCAGCTTCTTGACTGTATTGATTAAGCAGCAGCCTGAAGTCAGGTGAGAGCTAAAGATTTACACTGTCTACACCAGTATAACTGGAACTGGAATCTGCTTTAGGTCCTGCCATGTCATCTCATCTCTAATTTGGGAGAAAAATAAACTGTACTCCCTGTCATTTATTGGAGGGTAAGTATTTGTAGACAAGGCACAGTTTGTGGCCTCTCAGAACTGAGAGGCATAAGCTTTTTACCATGTCAAATGTCACCTGTCATTCCATTGCATGTTTGTAGTGTATTAAGCTACTTAAAATTGCATATTGCCTGAAGTTCTGCACAATAAAGAGATTGCCTATCATTCATGCACTGTTGAAAAGGGCAGCCTTTCATCTCTTCAGAGTAACTATGACCAGGAAAAAAATTAGTAGTGTGATAAATGTGAGAGGGGGGTTTAAATCACTTGAGGCTTGCTGACAGTGAATATTTAGCTTTGGTTTTGTTTGGTGTTTAAGATTATCTTCAGTGACTAACATTTGGTGGTCTGAGTTGATGAGCCAGACATGTTGTGCTTGTGTGTAATGGACATACTCTCTTCTTAGGTATATGTTTCATGACATTTTCCTTGGTAGTTCAGGAGATGAGAAAAAAGGATTAAATACTTCAACGTTAAAAAAGACCAGAGTTGCAGGCTGCAAGATAGTGTGATTTGGACATGCTTGTATTAAAGCCAACCAAAATTCATAGCCTTATTTAGCAAAGCAGACATATACTTTGGGCCGTAGGCATTAGTGAAGTATGCTTTTAAATTTTGATCCATTTATACACATACAACATTTTTGTGCTGGTACCTCACCACCATTTAAAGGTAAGTTGATCAGTGATGTGCAAAGAATGATGCAAATTATCCTTTTTTTCTCATTTTTGGTTTGGAGAAACTAGATCAATAGTAGAATAACATAATTCAGGTGATACTTTGTAGTAAGCTGCTTTTATTTTTGTTCCTAACAGTACATCCTTTCAGGCTCTGATGACTTCAATTTGTATATGTGGAGGATTCCTCCAGATCCAGAAGCAGGTAAGTTTTGTTGTTTTAGAATTTGTGGGAGGAGTGGGGCAGAGGGGCAGGTGTCTGACAAATACTAGCTTGTTTTTTGGAAAGAATTGCTTTTCTCACTCACCCTGTGAATCTAGAGTAATTCTGTGGAAAGCTGGATAAGGGAGAGTTTACAAATGCCTAATCCAGTCTCTGGGTAACAGTGGCCAACGTCATTTGAATGTTTTATCGTAATGATTTTCTGTTTATTTTCCTTCTCATATGATGATGATTCATTGCATAATGAAGCTTGCAGCATAAAATGTTCACAGGGTTCTCCTTATAGCTCCAGTGCATTGGCCTTCCTTCCCTCTCTTTCCTCTTACACCAAAATCCTCCCAGGATTTCCAATGCAAAGGAGTTAGGCTTTTTTACTTTCTGAGTGGAGGAGCGCTCTCAGCTGTTGGAAATGTCTCTTTTAACTCACTTCTGACCCGTTCCCATGCTGGGGTAGACATTCTAAGCAAATAGCATTAACACAGCCCTGTAAGAAAGTATAGGAGAGAGGTGTTGGAGTAAAGAAAAGCAGCAATGTGTGGGAGATGTAACAGTAGTATTGTTGATGCCACAATGGGTCAATGCTTAATTTGATATGGTCTAGCAGAGTTTGGCAGTATGACTCTCTAAGCCATACAACGTCAGCATCTCTCTTCTGTTGAAACAAATCACTGCTCTTTTACAAGGGTGTTAAATCTTAATTGAAAGAGTCAAGACTTTCGAAAATGTACTAGTATTTCTATTTTTAATGGCTCTGGCAGTTTAAACTCTACATTTTAGTGATATTAAGTACAACTGAGTGCTATCCTGTGATCTCGAGTGCTTTAGTGAGAGACAATTACAAGCTGGGTTACAGGTAAAATGAAAATACTTTGTTTCATTTTCAAGGTTGTTAATCACAGCTGTATAATCCACAGCTGAGAGGATGACTAGCCTCTAAAAGATTTGGTTAATGGCAGAGTTTTGAGGAAAGTGCCATTCCAATTTTGGGGGTTTTGTTTGTTTAACCAACATTTCATATTGCAATCCAGAAGTCCTGAAGATGGTCCTGCTAAATATACCAGTAGCTTGGCCTTCGCTGTTCTACTGCTACTTAAGGATTATTGTGTGGACTATAGAACTACATTTTATCCATGTCACTATACTTGTCCGGACTTCTTTTGTAAATTCTGGATTTGAGATTTTGTGTTTATATAGCTGTGATGCTCTTGAAAACTTTTTCCCAGACAGCTGCAAATTACAAACTTTTTATGTGGGACTTTGGCACAGAGTTGCATCTAGTACTTGTTGCACCTGGACTTAAGCAAAATTATCTATTTCAGAGTTGTTATTAAGGATGCAGCTCTGTGAAAAAGATATATGCTTACCAAAAAAGTTGCAATTTACAAATAGCTGATACATTTTAATCAAACCAATTTACAGTTTAATATGTGATTTACCACAAAACAATGTCATATGTGTTTTGTTCAGCTTTTTTGTTTCTGATTCTTGTAACTTGAGGAAGGGTGTCAGTACATTTGCAACATTTCAGTTACAAAATGAATTACTAAATATCAGTTGCCCTCTATGGTTGCTTAATGGATGAGAAAATCCTGTTGTAGGAGGGTGTATGTCTTAGTGTCTTGTAACTCGAGCAGTTCTCTTTTTGAAACATTTAGCAAAACTAATGAGCTTTGTTCTGTTAGACCTGAAGATTCCACTTCCGTGGAAAATAACTCATTGGCCATCCAAATCACCTGTGATAGGCTTATTGAAGCTATTATTTTCTTCATTCAGCTCTTCTTGAAGGGCTGTGCCTGTTTTGAATGTGATGAAATGCACTTTCTTAAATCTCCTCCTTCTGTTTAGAATAATTGTCAGACAGAGATGTCACTGTGCTTCCTTCTTAGATAAAGAGTCTTACTGTAGGGATATGAAGACTTCGGAAGGCTTTTGCTTCAGCGGAAAACTCCTTGTTCCTATGTTCTAGCTAAAATAGGAGTGCCTTAGGGTCTGTGACCTGGGAGGGTGGAATGTGGTCTTTCACTTAAAATAGTGTACAGACTAGACAGGGTAATGTAATGTCCTGTACCATTTGTTGGTATTTTAAACAAAAATATCTCTCTGCTTTCTGTCTTCCAGTTGAATTCAGACCTTGTGTTGCTATAAATATTTATGATACAACTCTTAAATTGTATCAGTTATTTGTAAATAGTGAGCTTTTCACAAACATATTATCTTTTTAGAGAGTTGCATTCTTAACAATAACTCTGAAATAAATTATTTTGCTTAAGTACAGGTGCACCAAGTACTAACTATGTAATGGTTAGCAGCATTAGTGCACAAAAGATGAAGAAAATTGTGAAGGATCACACCAGTCAGACAATTGCAAACACATTTCAAGTTGGAGGAACATGGTTACCTGTGTTGGTATTTTGCCAGTAGAATTTGGGTGGGGAGGTCTCGAAAAAAGATATTTCCTAAATTGCTTAGAAAGCTATTCTATTGAAGAGTTTTACTGACTGTCTCTCTCCATAGTCTTAGATTATTCTAAATAGGCCGGGATTTCCTATGCAAGAAGGTTGGGTGGTTTTTTTACCACCTTTTGTGGTTTCTTAAAGGTGGAATAGTTTGCTAATTTTTCCACTTTCTTCTCTGTCCAAGTACTATCCATCTTTCCACTGTACTTCAGAAGTCATTGCCAAATGTTTGGTGAATTTTTTAGCCAGTTTTGTCTTTAAAGTGTACCAGTTTTCTTCAGAGACACCTCCTAGCAAAGTTAATACATTAGTCTGGCAGAAGAAAAGCAGTCCTGAGTTTCCACAGCTTTTACCTGACTCCAAGGCAGGTTGTAAGTGAGAAGAGACATCAGTCCTACATGACCTGCCCAGCAAGCCTGTTAACATATAAGCACTTCAGGCATTATTTAAATGTAACTCCTATAAACAAGGTAAAAAACCCCAGTTAAAGGCAGAACCTGACATGTCTTGTGGGGTAATAGAGGGCTTAGTAGACCAAGTGTTTTGCAAAATGGAGTTTACATTCCTCACTCGCTACTCTGAATCATCTCTGCAACTCAGAGCTTGTCTCTTGCTTTTGAAATATTGCTCCAAGATGCTCTGTGAGGGACACAATATTTATTTGTGATTGAGAAGACAACTGGGGATCCCTCAGTTTATGTGAGCAGGCTGTCACTAAATCAGAACAGCAATCTGCATTTCAAAACCTCTTTTTAATTCTGTCCTTGACTGTAACTGCAAGCAAGAAAGGGCCTGTCATTGTGGTCTGGTTACTAAAGTAATTGCACATATTTTCAGCAGAACTGATGCAATTTTATTTCCTTTTGTTTCCTCCCCCTTGGTCTTTGTAAATGCAGACATTTCTTTAGGCAATAGAATTCAGCAATAGATCTTTTCACAATATTTGAACAGGATTATCTCATTGGAGACAGCTTGTAGTTTAAGTTCTCAAAGTCCCCGGTGGATAAGTGAAGACAAATAACAAATAATAGAATGTTTCTTAACGTCTTCACCTATTTTTGAGATATTTTATATATGTGCACACATGCGTGGGTTGGGATGCAGGGAAGCCATCTGACCCAATAGGGAGCATGCTCTACAAGGTTTGTATTTTTTAAAAAATCTGATTTTTTTTTTGAGGTGTGGTCTTGGAATCTAAACTGGTTTACTTTCAGGATGGTATTTTGTCTCTTTTTTCAGGTCAGTCAGTTGACCATAGTGTGCTATGGAACAGTTGTTTAATTAACACAGGAAATAAGTGGTGGGGCACTGTAGAAAAGGTTCTTGTATTCAGTGAAATTGAGACTGGTTTTCATGTCATGTGGATTGTAATAATACCACAGATCTGTGGAATGTACTGGCTAGATGGCATCTATCAGAAAACAAGGCAGTGTTGGGTGCTTTGTAGTGCTGTGGACAAGTGGGAGAAGATTCAGCATCTTCGAATGATTCTCTCACCAGCCTTAGCATGCTTAATAATTTAGGAATAGAAAACTGAAGGCAACATTGAGCACTGGGAGAGGCTAGAGAAGCTTTAGTCCCTAGCAACTAGCCATCTGATAGTACCAAAGATCCTTCCTCTTCATTGTATTGAACATGTTTGCAGCTACCATTACAAAAGAAATGCAGAGGCAAGCAGTTTTCACACCTCTGTTAAAAAAAACCAAAACCAACCACATAAAAACCAAACCAAAACAAAAAACCCAACCAAACAAGAAACAAACAGCTATTGTTTGTATGATAATTTCAGTTACTTTATTTCTGTTGTGTTCAGAAAGCATAATTGGTGGGGGTAATTTGCATCATTCCAATAACATTGTGAAAAGCATTGCGACCTATGCAATTAAGCATACCGAAAAAGCAGTGTCTCTCAGACCAGGAAGGGGAACAGAGTGGAAAGGGTATGCCAAAGTTTATTTCTGTAGTAATTTTGTCTTAGCTTTCATATTGTTGTTCAGCTGTACTGGTGATAGCAACAGTGGGAGGACTGGTATAGATAAGGTGTAGATACATGTGGCAGATATTTAGAAGCAACAAAAGAAGGAAGAAAATATACATCCAAAAATAGCCTCTACCATACAGCTTTCTGCATTGTCTTTACGTGTTTAAATATTACTTTTCTCTTTGGCTTTTGGAACCTCCACAGAGGTACAAGACCTGTGGGGCTGGTTCTAGGCAAAGGCCAGGCAAAGTTGTTGATTGTTTAGAAGAGCATGTTGTCTGAGGGAGGTGCTGAAGTCAGCCAGTTGCTCCCTGCGCTTTCACTAAAGCTCTGCAAGGCTATGCTGATCCTTTCACCTGGCCTGGGAGGTGAAGAGGATATTCAAAGGTGACAAAAGAAGCAGTTGGAGCTCCAGCTCTAACAATGGAGTTGGACCTGCTTTCTTATGGAAAGTAGTGCTACTAGTGTCTCCTTTTACTATGCTGGGAGGAGAAGGGATCTTGGCCATCCCTTGCTGTTCTCACTCCATATTTAATGTGTCCAAAGTCAGTTTTGCCTGTGCTGCTGAGAAACTTTCGGTTCCTCTGACTGCTGCCAGAGCTGGAGTCAGATTCCTGATCCCAGTAGAAGGTATGCTGCAGCACCCTGTGCTCTCAGGGCAAAAGTAAGTGCATGCATTTAAATCCAGCTTCTCTGCAGACAGGTTTCTAAGGAGCAAAGCCATCTGCTGGCATCCACTGTATGAAACAAACACAGGTGTGTGTGTGTGTGTGACGAGAGAAAGACTTTTAAGGAGTCTAATCATAATCTGCTGCACTGAAGGCAGAGGCCCCGTATGCTATGCATATTGGCTTGCATTGTGCTGTGCATTTACATTCTAAACTACAGTGTCTCTCTTTGTTAGCACATCCTGACCTCATAGGATTCAAATGCAAAGCAGTGGCCTATGGTCTAAATGTGTCCTGGATTATTACTAATGAAAACTAAATTAATTTTAAATGAGCTACTACTGTAGTGCCAAATACTACAGTGGAATGGTATGCTATGGCATACTGGCAGCAGCTGCAAATATCTGGTTCTTCTCAGGAGTTTTCAGCACTTTGCGTAATTTAACAAGGCTTGTATGAAGTTATGCTTAAGTCTGTGGAGCATCTTTCTACCATATATGAACAAACAGTGGAACTTCTTTTTCAGTGTCCTAGATAGAAAGGACTTCTTAAGGCGGTCATTTAATTAATCTGTTACAGAGCCAGTGGATGATAGTTTCTTATCCCAACAAGTTCTCTGGCAATTTGATGGGGTTTTTTAATGTTTGGTACAATGCATCTTCCATTAGTTTAGAGACTGTTCTACATTCTTACAGGGTTTCTGCATTAGAGCACTTTCCTAAAAATTTATCACTTTCGCTTTTTCCTTGTCCTTCAAATAATTCATTCTGGATTTTTCTAAACACTGCTTCATGCTGTAGAATTCGTGTAGTGGAAGTCAGAATGATGTTCAAATAACTCACTCTCCTTCATTACAGTTTACTTGAGTTATTTAAAATGTGTTGGGATGTACCATCCAGCATGTTCACAATATGTCATGTCAATTCATTCACACAAATATTTACAAAACCACATAATTAAGAAGTATATCATTAGCCTAACATTTAAAACACAAAATAGTAAAGCAAACAAGAAGTACTCACTTTGACTACTTAGTAGACATCAACTACTTCAAAGCATTGTATTATTCCTTCCTTCTGTCTGTATGATAGGCCTTGTGTTGCCATGGTATTCTTGTCAAACGCGTACAGGAAGTCTGTTTTAAAATATACACTTCAGATTTAGCCTTTTATAAGTTATTTCTTTCAGCTAGTCAGATATCATAATAGGATATTAGTTAAAGGATTTTTTGAGATTTTTGTATTGCTCCTCTTTGGAACACTTATTTGCAGGGTATAGATGAAGAGGGACTTCCTTGACATTTCACTTTGTGTATCAAATAAAAGCAGACCAAAAAACCCATTGATCAGCACAGCTAGAACACTAAACCACTCAGGACTGCCATTAAGCATAGCAATTTGGGGTAGTATTGCAAAAACAGCCAGTACCTATTCATCCCTTCCATCCAGTAGTTAGAGGTTGTAAAGTTAGAAACTTTCTAAAATTGGCATAATCAGCCTCTGAAGACTTTAAGGGTTTTTTTATATACATTATAAATAACATGTATGTAAACTAATGGCCTCTGTATAAACACTGCTTATACTTGTGGTAGCTAGCTAAGAATATAAAAGCTGCCATGCTAAGAGTTGCAGGACCTGTGCATGCCATTAAATTTAAAAGCAAACAAATAACACCGTCTTCCCCTAAAAAAACCCCAGACCTCAAAAGGAAAATTTGAGTGTTGTTGGGATAGCAGAGGTCAATTCTGCTGAAACAATGCAAATGAAAATACTATTTCAAGTGAAGACAGCGAAGAGAAATAGAATTTATTACATGCAAAAAAGGAAGATAGCCTCAGGAATTTGAACAGTTTCCACTTAATGTACAGATGCACTTTTTTTTTGCCAGCAGACATGAGCAAACTTAACTCACACTGTGAGATGGCTAAAGCTGAATGGCTGCAGCTGAACCTCTGCTGAGAGACCAGGGGGATTCCAGACAAGTCTGGACACAGGCAGATATCTGCCATACATATACTAATGTAATATGATGCCAACTTTGCTGGGCTCCTATAAAATGAAGGAACCGCAGTCAGGATAAGGCTGTGGAAGGCTTTGCATTAAGAACTTACTTAGAGATTACATAGGAGTTGGTAGACTAAAATTGCTTACATAGAAATTCGTAGACTAAAATTGCATCAAGCAAGAAGTTGTCCAACAATGAGGTTCTAGGACAGTCTATTATATTTGACACAAAGATTATCAAAGTATTGGTGGAATCAGTACGTTCTGGTTTAAATTATTAAAACCTCCCATACCACTAGTAAAAGCTGACTGCTAAGATTTGTACTTCTCCTGGGGCAATTTCATGTAATTGGGCAGTTAGTTCTTTTAAGGGGCTTTGTAGGGAATTTCACCTTCATTTTAAGAGGAGTGAGGTATGTTCTATTACTATGCTTCCTCTGAATTTACTGTTAGCTGCTTGAAAGGAATTTAGGCAACTTCAATATTAAATCAGAAAGTTTTGCTGTTCCTTCACAGAGTCATAAAATCATAGAATCACAGAATGGTTTGGGTTGGAAGGGACCTTTAAATATCATCTAGTTACAACACCCCTGCCAAAGACAGGGACACCTTCCACGAGAGCAGCTTTCTGAAAGCCTCATCCAACCTGATCTTGAACACAACTTCTCTGAGCAACCTGTTCCAGTGCCTCACCACCCTAATTTAAAAAAAGTTGCCTTCCTTATATCCAATATAAGCCTACACTCTTTCAGCTTAAAACCGTTGCCCCTTCTCCTTTCACTATTATAGGCCTTGGTAAAAAAGTCTGTCTTTCTTGAGAAAGTCCCCTTTATTGAAAAACTGCCATGAGTTCTCTTTAGAGCCTTATTTTCTCCAGGCTGAACAACCCCAACTCTCTCAGCCTTTCTTGTAGGAGAGGTGTTCCTTCTCTCTGATCGTTTTTGTTGCCCCGCTCTGGACCCACTTCAACACCTTCACATATTTTCTTGTGCGAGGGGGCCTGGAACTGGACACTGTGCTGCAGGTGGGGTCTCACAAGGGCAGAGGAGAATCACATCCCCCAACCTGCTAGTCACACTGCTTTTGATGCAGCCCCGGATACAGTTGGCTTTCTGGGTTTCAGACACTGGCTGAATTTGACTACAGCCTAGGGACCTGTGTTCTAGACATGGCATGCTGAGCACTTTTCATCCAATTGCTCTCAGTGTATTGATAAACATTCAAGAAGTGTCTTCTGGCATTAAATAACTCTTTTCACTGTTCTGCTAGGAAAATAACCATGGATTAATTCACACTGCTGACAGTACCATGGAAGGCCAATGAATGACTGAGAAATGCAGCCCAAGATACTGATGCCTTAAATTTGTATTTCATCTCCATTATAATTCTTTCTTTGTCTTTCTAACTTCTGACTCTTTTGTAAGTGACTTGTAGGGCATATTTCTTGTTTTGTACAGAATTCAGGCAGTCAGAGTCCATGGATAGTTAACACTTTTTTAGGCATTACTTCCCAACTTGGAAACATTTCCTAAGCAAACTATCTCTTCATTCCCAAGGTCTCTTTTCTGGAACATTTGTCACCTAGGTCAAGTTAAATGTTGAGAACTGGTCTTAATGTAACCAGCTACTTTGGCTTGACAGATACAATTGGATTGACAACTCTGATCTGGCTGGAAGGAATGCTGTGGGAGTAGGGCAACTTACCATCAGCCATAAGTATCTAGCAGGATGAGCTGGACGAAAGGACGTGAAAAATCTCATAAAGTGGAAAAGAAAATCAAAAGAGCCCAATTCGTCGTTTAATAAACTTGCTCTCCACTCTGTTACTTCTCAGTCAAATTTACTTACACTGGTGAAATCTTGCTCCAGTGGCTGAAGGCAGAATGTACCTCTGAACCTTCACAGAAAAAAATGTACCCAAATAGGAGAACTGCTTAAGTTGTAAATGACAAGGTGGTTTTCCTCCGAAGTGTTTTTATTTCCCATCTTCTGAAAGTTTGGTTTTCTTTCACTGAAGATGTTAATCATAGCATGTTGATGGACATTTGTTTATTCAGATACACAGGTGTACTTTCTAACAAATTGGAATTTTAATCATGTAAATCTATGAATATAAAAAAATTGCTGTGTGACAGTTTTCTGCTTTGGTGTATAGACCTAGCAAGAGTCAATGACCAAGCAAAAAAGTTAATTGCCTTCTGTTTTGAGTTTTACCGCTAGCACAAAAGCATTCCACTTCGGCTAATTCACTGCCTTGTGACAAAGAATTATATAACCCGCTGTTCAGATGTGTTATTTCAGGTCCCTCCTACCCATCAGACTAGAGTCAACTGAGACAATAATACATTGCTGATTTAAAAAATAAATTTGAAAAATAGCATAACTATTGAAAGTCAACCTCTTTATTTGTCTCTTCTTCAAATTTCCAAACTGTGAGTAGTGCCATGCCTCTGGCACTACAGTTTCAGTGGTGAGTTCATTATGTATGTTGTTCTTATCCACATAGTTGTCATATGAGGTCAAAAACCTTCATTGTTTGTTTAAATGAATCAAAGTGAGCCTCCAAGTCCTAATTTGCAGGAAGGATGCTTTTCAGCCAGCTCGTAGCTTTTCACAGGGGCATCGCTCATAAAATTGGAATTCTGCACCCAACACAGGCCTTAAAATATAGAAAAATAAAGCTGAAGCGCATATAATATGACTTTACATGATTATGAATGAAAGTAATATGAAGATTTAATTATTCATGTCCATGTGTGCTTGTTTTCCCCTAGGTGGCATTGGCAGGGTCGTCAATGGTGCTTTTATGGTATTGAAAGGTCATCGGTCAATTGTAAACCAAGTCCGGTTTAATCCTCACACTTACATGATCTGTTCTTCTGGTGTTGAAAAGATTATAAAGGTAAGATTAGTTGTCAAAAAATGTGTTCTTTCAATGTTTCAGGAAGAAATGCTTTGGTTTTTTTCAGTGTCATTCTTTTCCACACCCATCCTGTCTTCTTATCTTATTCATTTGTAAAATGTCTCCTTTGCTGGATAAACCAATGCAAATTTTTAATTGGGCATTTCACCTTTAAACTTCATTTCAATTTTAAAGGTTTCAGAGATAGGAGATAAGATCAGAATTTTCTGGCCTTTTATCTTGAGAAAGGAGTTTTTCTCCAGTTTAATTCCATACATACCCGAAGTATCATGAAAACAGTCCTTCTTGGGAGAGTATGATCACAGGTGTAACGTGATCTACAATTTCTGGTACTCTAGTCTAAAATTTTATAAAAATATCTCCAAAGACTAACGTTGAGCCTTAACCTAGCCTGACCCAGTTGAATTTGGCCCAAATAATGCCTCAGGAGCCCTTCTATAATTGTTGTACATATTTGTTCAGTGAATCAGTTCAACATACCTTTTCTGTTCCTCTGCTTCCAGAGGAAGCAAGACTCTTAACACCTTTCACAATATGTCTTTTCTGAATCCTTTACAATGTATACCATTTTTAGACAGTTTTTACTTTTTTCTGTGGAACCGAAAGAGATAAGAAACTTTGTTAGGTTTTGACACTCCTTAAAGAAAGAGAGTCAATATTGTGTAAGCAAGGCAGAAATCTTTTTGTTATTTGAAGGTGGGGAGGCAGAGGATTATGCTATACTAATGGGATTTGCATTCTGCTGCCATAGATGTTTTGCTATAATTTAAGTCTATCAACAGGATGAAAGAAGCCATAACCATTTAATTTTGAAGAACTGCTGCTGCTTCTATTTGTTGAATAACTTCGTAAAAATCTTACCTGCATGTGTCTGTAAATAAGGTTGTTAGATTATTAGTAAATGCTTTAGCCAGCTACAAGTTGACTGAGTGAACTTGTCCTGCAAAGGAATGTTTTAGTGATCTGCAACTTATGGAGCAGAACTGGCCCAAAATCCTGGGACCATGGCCCAGTGCCCAACTGCATCACTTGCCATTACAGCTAGTATCAACATTTGGGTTCTGACTGTAGTTCAGCTTTCCTTCTCTTCTGTCTTCCACTGGAACTTTGGTTTGCTTTTCTACTTTGTTCTTCATCTGTGTCTGCCTGACAGGTTTGATCACAAACTATTAAATACAGGCTTTGAACAAAAGTGCATTGAACAGTCTTAGCAGTTCACTGATTTTACCATTTCCAAGCAGTCAAAGTGCCACTGTTTAACAACAGTTTTGCCAGAGGCATTTTTTTTGTTTTGGGACCCTGATTCATGCAGCCTGAATTTTCCCTTTTGGATTTTAGATCTGCTGACCCTTCACCCTGTGAATCCTTCCTGCATGAGTGTGCTTAGACTGTTGGATTAGCATTGGTATAAACATCCCCTGTGTTCCTTTTGTGTACTTCTGCTAGGGTTTTGGCAGGGCATTTTTTTGCCTAGTGATTAAAAGGTTAGTTCGATTAAGGCTCCAGTCACAGGTTGTGTAACTCTTTCAAAGCACCTCTGCTTCAGTGCTTCCTTAGAAGAGAACGCCTGTTGTGTCGCAGTATGTGCAATGGAACTCGTGTAGCTGCTTTGAAGGAACTGAATTCCCCAAACATTGCAAGCTAGAAACAAATTAAGGAAAAGGTGTTTAATGTATTAAGTTTATTAGCGAGCCAGAATGTCGTACCTTTTTGTTGTATGTGCTTTTGAATCAGCTTGCAATGTGCCTTGTTTGGGGATCAGGTTGTTTTAATGCTCATCTCTTGTCTGATCTGCATGACTTCAGTCTTTAAAGGTACTGTTTTAGTGAACAGCAGTTTGTGGGTGACCATACAATGGTGATTTCTTGTTTATTCCAGCTACTTCTATAGATAGGCTGAAGACTAGTAACTGCCACTAGCAGAAGGGTAAAACAGGAAAAACATAACCAGAAGTTTTGAGGGGCCATTTACTGCATTGAAAACAACTGGGAACCCAAGTCCTTCACTAGCATGGCTGTCTTTCTTTCCCTCATATAAATGCTTGATGTGCTTGCTTAGAGAAGTTGAGATGACAAGAGGAAGAGCCATAAATAAAAATAGTAGTTAGGTTTTTTATGTTTTCTTATTTTGTTCATTTTTGTTTGGTTTTTTTTTTTTGTTTGTTTTAATCAGTTTCTTAAGAAGTGTCGTTCTTTTTACTATCCTTTAAGTGTCTTCTAAAATTTCTGAAATTAAATCACGGAAGATAACTTCACTGTGGTTGGTTGGTATTCTATTCCCTCAATTATAGAAACTTTGGGATTAATTAAAATGTGTATGCAAGTACTTGTTTGTCTGAACCCTTAATTTTTAGACTAGCTGGCCTAAATTTAGTACTTCAAGAAGGGAGAAACTAATAGCACCAGCATGAAGGCATAATACAGACAAGCCATTCAATAATTCCATGTACTTCTGCCAACACACTTGTTTTTTTAATGCTGATTGCAAATGAGATAGAAATTCATCTCAGGTCTAGCCCTGTAGAAAAGAGTAGTATTCACAAGAATGGTTTTGACTATTGTGGTTGTGCTTTTTTTGCTTTAGTTTTGTTTTGTTTTAAAGCACCCACAAGAATATAATTCAGTAACTCAGTGATTTCTGCTAGGACCAAAAATAAGACTCGACAAGCTCATTAATAAAGAACACTAGAAGCCTTGATCCATATAGTGTCTTCTGAACATATCAACCCAGATGAATTGCTCATTGCCCTCCATTTCAGAAACTTGAACCTCAGTAAAATTGTACGAAAAAGCACAGCTGTGAACTCAAATTAACATTTGCAGCAAGCATTCTCCACGATGGGCAAAAGCAATATAAAATAGAAAAATACCACTTTCCCGTCAATTAATTGTGCAAGACATTGGGATGTGCTGGCAGGAAAACAGATTGAATTGCAGGAGAAATGAATGAGGCATTCGTTCTGATGTATGAGGCTTAGAGGAAGGACACAGAGAATTCTGCAGTTAGAAGACAGTTCCAGGAAAGATAAAATAGATGAAGTGCATAGCAATTTTAAAAAAGAAATTCTGTTTTGTATTGGAAATGTAATACTGTGTAACTGAGCTCAGATATTGTAGGTCCCATTTGTTTAAAAGCCATCAGTATCTCAGAGGTAACAAAGTCTATTTGAACATGTTGCTATGGTGACAGTTTAATATAATTGTGACTAGTTGCCTCTGCCTAATCAGATAATCTAATATAGCTGGTTTAAATTATTCTGATGCTACAGGCATAACTACTTTTTTGTTTTAAAATTTGGGGGGTTGCCAAAAATTCAAAGATGCCGTCTGAAGCATCTCTACTGAAGTAGAGAACCAGTTTTGTATTCCCCTTTTCTGTTATTGTTCCTATTTTTATGTCTGTACTCAGGTCATCAGTCAATCAGTATTCAGCTCCTCAGTCTTCTGACAGAGAAAGAACTTCATGATAGATTGTCGCTTCAGGGGGATGATTTGCCAACTTACTTTGACCAATTTGTTCACATTCTTCCTCAACATGGCATCAGTCAGAGGATGAGAAAAAGACAAAGGCATTCCATTTACAATGAAGACCATTTCAGATGCACAAAGAGCACTGGATCAGTTGATGTCAGTTTAAGGACCTCCCAGTTCTGCCAAGGATAGATTCTTAGTCTAGTTTCTTTTTGGGACTCTGGCAGGCCTTTGCACTCCCTCACAGCAAAATATCTAAATTGTAGGGATTGTCTCTCCAGAGACAACTGATCCTCCAGACAACTGTCTGTCCAGAGACAAACAGGTATTCTCCTGAATTCTCTTGACTTCTCTTTATTATTTACTCCTTATTTACACCTTCTCTGTGAACAAATCTAGCTTGGAAGGGAAAAGCCTCACTGTGAAGTCTTTGTAGCTATCTTGTCAATATTTAACACTGCTCTGTTTTCTCTGATGCATGCAGAGTGAGCAGAAAGATGTGGTAGTGCTAACAAAGATGTAGAATACCTCTGTACACACTTTATGTACCTTTTTAGATGAACTTCATTACAAAACAGACCTTTCCCAGAGGGACTTCAGAGCAGACTCCCACTCTTCATTTATATTGGTTCATAGAGAATCTAATTCTCTTGCTTAAAAAAAAAAAAAGAGTTTTATAAAACTTAGTGATCAATCTAATGCTGCTATTTTAGGAAGGGGCATGCTGGCCTGTCTGTCCAAGCACACAGTATGAAGCATTGAAAAGAAGGTATATGCTGTTCAACACAAAAAGATCTGATCTGCTTACTGATATGCTCAGTAGTGGGACAAAGGGGGAGAAGATCCAACAGGTTGTGAGAGAAGGTACTGAACACGTGCTAAATAAATCATCAGGAAGGCAGCAACTCAAGGATAGTCCTTTGAGCAGTAGAGTTCTATTTTTCTACCAAATCTTGGTGTGTCCACGAATCAGCAATCTCTCTCTTGAATCCACTGAGAGAAGGCTCTTTCCTACGTTGACTTTAGAAAGTGAAGCCTGGGAAACAGAGAATGAAGAGAGATTCTTTCTGTACTCTTGAGTAGTTAAAAAAACTGGTTAAGTATGGTTTATGGAATTCTGTACATAGTAGACTTAGACTGGGTTTTGTTATCTTCATCTAGGCCTGATGCTTGTCCCTTGAGCTATGTGTCTCATAAGTGCGGTGCTTAACCAAGCAACAGAAACTGTCTTCATTCGGGTTTCAAATGTCATATTAATGAACTGTACTGGAAGAGAATTTGCTTAAGTATTGCAAATAATAAAAATAGAAATTAAGTACCAATAGCAAATACACTTTGATATTGAGGCATGTTCCTAGGAACAGACTAATGCAATGTAAAATTCCTTTACCTTTGCTGTGAAAGGCAGCTTGATGATTGTCTGCAGAAGAAGTTATATCTGCAGCCCACTTTAGTTTTTGAATAGTATCTCTTTTATCTATCTAGCTAGATCATATGTGGAAGCTCTGTTAAACATAAATTACAAAGGATGCAAAGTAAAGGCTTGCAGGTTTGGGAGGATTCCAGAATGAAGTTTACTTGTACATCTTAAATTTGGCTGTGCTGGACAAGTAGTTGCAAGATAACTTATTTCATTTTGTTTCCATTATTAAAGGTGTAAGGTTTTACTGCACACTGTTGAAAATCTCAGTGAATACATAATTACTTGTGGGCTTTTTTATACTGCTTGTCATAGTAGTGTGAGATTATGTTGCATGTGTTAACTAGGCATCTGTAAGATAAGTGCTGATTATCCCATTTAGACATGCAAAACGCTCTTTTTATTAACATCTTTGTCTACTTGGAACAAAACTTGATTAATTTCTGTTGGGAAAAGAGTTAGATGTTTTTGCCAAAGCTTATCCCAAAAGGCCAACATGGTACAGACAGCTGGCATAGAATTTTTTTTCTCTGAGCTTGTTAGTATGGTAAAACTAAAGCATGACTGAAATCAGATGTTTTATAAGCAGAACATTAGGGCATTTTTGTGACTAAGCTACATAATGGCTCTGCTTATGGTAAGGCATTGTTCATCCAGTTAACCATTGATCCAGAGTGAAGAGACAGTGGTTGTCCATGGATTGCCATAATCTCATTGCTCCCAAATCTGTGAGTAAAACTGAGAAAGATGAGGAGATCCAACTACTATTTTTGCTATGGATTACCATTTTCTTAGGGATATTGGTGGATCTTCTTGTGTGCCTTTATTTTTTTCCTTCTCCACACCAGGAAAACTGAGAGAAGGCTAGATGGACAGCACAGTCAAGACTGTTGTTATTGGTGAAATCATTACTCTTCAAAAGTAGCTTTCAGGAAAACTCTTCTTCAGCTCTCCCCATTGAAACTGCTGCTGTGTCTTCAGAGGATGTTGGATGCTTTCTTTTCTTCAAAACTGTTCCCTAAAGCTCTGATTTTCATCCCCATACATTCAGCTCCTTGCCTGCTGATCAGGTGCGACTGACTATGCAGCTGGATGAAATATTACTCTACACCACACAAGCAACTCTAGTTTCCTGGGAAACTAGTGCCTTCATTAGTGCTGAGATTGTATTGTAGGCAACAAACTATTCTTACTGTTGGTGAATAAGCATGCCCCATTACATAAAAATACAGCCCTGCAATTTGGGAGAAATTATTACACAATGAATTACTGAAATGATGGATAATTTGCAGACTGAGAGCTTTTAGGTTCTGGATAGGTGAAATAAATGCAGGAAAAACACATTTGTAAAGGAGAAGTAAAAATCCCGCATCTCTGCAATACTTGTAAGTATGGGTCTTAGGGGTAAAAATTAGTAAAAACAGTCTGCAACTTGCAGTTGTTCTGGATATTTGAGCTACTGTTCCATTTTAAAAGCTTATAATAATTTATGCATTCAAAAATATATGTTTCATTTTTCATTACAGATCTGGAGTCCCTACAAGCAGCCTGACTGCACGGGGGACCTGGATGGTAGAATCGAGGATGATTCACGTTGCCTCTACACTCATGAAGAGTACATCAGTCTTGTGTTGAACAGTGGTAGTGGTTTGTCCCATGATTATGCCAACCAGTCAGTCCAAGAAGACCCACGGATGATGGCCTTCTTTGACTCTCTTGTACGCCGGGAAATCGAGGGCTGGAGTTCTGATTCAGACAGCGACCTCAGTGAGAGCACAATCCTGCAGCTCCATGCGGGAGTAAGTGAACGCTCCGCTTACAGCGAGTCAGAGTCCTCCACCTCTTTGCATCACTCCCCACCACATGTGGCTGAAGAGTCTGATGAAACTGCCTATAACTTAAGGGCCTTAAGATCGACTGCATCCCCCTCAGCCAGAGAAGACGTAGCTTCCCGTCAGCAGAGGCTATCTGCACTGAGAAAGTATCAGGATAAACGTCTTCTGGCCCTTTCCAATGAGTCTGACTCTGATGACAACACCTGTGAGGCAGAACCAGATACAGACCTTTTCCCACGGCCGCCGTCCCCGAGTCCTGAGAACGAATCCAGCAGTTCCAGCAGCAGCAGCAGTACAGAAGATGAAGAGGAACTGAATGAAAGACGCACATCTATGAGGCAACGCAATGCACTGAGGCGACGCCAGAAGGTGCAAAAGGAGGAAAGGACTAGCACTAACACGGAGAACGTAACCCCCTACATAGGTGAGGACATATATGATTACCCCCAGATCAAAGTAGATGATCTTTCTTCTTCTCCAGCTTCTTCACCAGAAAGGAGTTCGGCCAACAAACAAGTTCTCAAAGAAAGGACGTCTCCTTGTTCAGACAGTGAATCAGTGGAGAGAAAGATTTACAAAGCTTACAAATGGCTTCATTATTCTTACATATCATATTCAGCTAGTAAAGATGGTGAATCCTCCAGAGGAGATGGAGAGAATGATGAAGGGAAACCAGGAACCAGTGGAAGGCACAGTGCATCATGCTCACTAACTAAGGAAGATTCTAGGAACTTAAGTTCAGTAATTCCTCAAGATTCCTCAGCTCTTTCTGCTGAAAGCAGAGAAAATTCAAAAGAATGTGGCGTGATAGAAAATTCTAGTAATGGTCAAGCTCATGAATGTGACAATCAGCAACGGATGGAGAGTCAAGATAACACGTCTGAAGACACTAGCAGTGGAGGTACAGAGCATTCTTTTGAGAATAAAAAGCTCAATGGAAAAGCTAACTGCAAAGGGCTAAATAGTTGTACCGAAGAACCTTGCATTCAGACTGCAGGACTTGTGGAACAGAAAAATAGTCAGAATTGTCAACCAGCATCAAGCCATCACTCACTGGTCCCTCCATTCTCCACTGTCACGATCTGTAGCGTGTCAGGTCACTGCTCCAGAAACCAGACTGATGACAGTGAGGAGAGGAGCCTCGACCCCTCCTGTGTTAACTACAATAATGGCCACTTGCATCTTCACCCTTCGTGTTTCAACAACGGACAGAGTTTTGGAGAGCAGGAGACTGTGACGCAAGGATTACAGGTGCACTCAAATGCTGATAATGGCAACCTTGTACAGGTGGGTGTGACCTTGCACAAAGACTGCTGCCTGTCTGAAATGGACTCCAACAGCTACAATGTGAGCACAAGAGAGGATACTGCTGACTTGCATCCTGCGGGCAGTGAGAGCACTCAATCTCTTGGAGGACTGAAAAGACACAGAGTGGAGTTGGAAGATGCAGATTCAGAGAGTTCTTCCTTAGAAAAGAAGTTAAAAACATGATAAATGCGAATGTCTGTCGTAGTGTGCACTCTCTCAAAAAGAGAAGGAAAATGCAAGTATTAAAGGCACATAGAGCTTGGGTCTGAAACATTGTGTTTGATTCTCCATTCCATTCTTCAAGTGGGTCTGTTTTAGATTGCCAGTGGTTCATGCTGTGTAAAAATCCAACTTGCTCCTTAATGAGACTGAGTCTAGTGTACCATACAAGGTTCTGTTTAAAGTAAATCCTTATTAAGATGGTTGACTGAATTATTCTTGTGTGAACATGTGTCATTTGTTCAGCCAGCCAACCAGGATGACTGCTCTAAGGTTTAATCTAAGGAGGAAGTTTTCCGTATTGACACTTACTACACATGGCAGGCTGAAGAATGGTGGAATTAGATCACACTGGTGGTAGCTTGGGAGTGTGTTTCTTTTTGAGGAAAACAGGGAAGAAGCCTTTCTGGGCCCTTTATTCTGCTTCAGAAACTAAAGAAATGCAACCATTAGGAAGGATATTTTCAGAACTGGCTGGTATCTTTAAAGATGATACTTCATAAAGCACTTGCTTCTGATACAGGTCAGTGACATTATTTTTATGCCAACAGAAAAGCTATAGGAAATGAGCCTCTTTCCAAAATAAAGTTTAGACTGTTCCCATGGTGACATTCAATTTTGTGGGGTTTTTTAAAGAAAAGAACTGAATAACACAGTGTCATCACTATATTGATGTGTGATTGTTTGGCAAGAGACAGGTATTATGCTGTAGGCCTCATTCTAACCAAGGGCTATTAAAAATCAGGCATTGAAACATGTCTTTCTGTGATCTTAACATATAGAAATTTATTATTATTATTATTATTAAAATATGGCTCTGAGTGTTGGGATGTATCTTTACTGTGCCCTCCCCTTCCTCTGTGCTCTTACTTTTGCGAAGCAGTAGGCCAAACAGAAAATAGCAGAACTATGGATAACGTAACAGATTCATGTTAACAGCAACACTCGGTAAGGTCCAGTTTTCTTAGCCCAAAACTTAAAACGGGTTGGGATTGGAGATCAGGGTTGGTTTTTCACCATTCTGCTGTTGGTATTTAAAATTGGGTAGATGTGTTCAACAGAGTTGTGCATGTAACGGAGAGCTTCAGAGAACTGGGTCTCCAAGCCTGGCCAATCAAAACGTGGGCAAGAGCATAGCTCTGGCTGCCATGAACTGGAGTACTGTTCAGGTGGACAGAGTCCACCTTTCTTGCCTGGGTGCTGTTTTCAATGGAGTATCTAGTGAGTCATCTCAGTTCTGGCATGTTGGAATTGGTGGAATTGTATTTGCTTCCCTAGCAACAAGGTGAAAGGAGTCAGTGTGTGAAGGGAAAACAAACCACCTATAAAGGACGTAAAAACTATGTGCATGTGCTTTGCAGTGCTGACAACAGAGACGCTTCTTTTAACCCCAGTAATTCTCAAAGGTTTTCAAGCCCAGTACTGAGGAAGAGTTAGTTTATTTTTAAGGAATAGGATATTTTTGCTTTCAGTACAACTCTAGCAGTACTCTGCTGTAGAGCACTGGCCTCAGAATAAATATTTCATATGCGCAGCTCCCTGGTGGCTGGGGAAAGTAGGAAGATGCCCAGTTAAAACATGATGACAGTAGAGGAGCACTTCAGAAGGGATGCTGAGAGGGAAAGGTATGGGAGGGAGAGTGAAGAACATGACCTGAAACATTCTCTTACCACTACTGTGTTCTATAGGCTGTCTGCCCACTCTGGGTCTGCTTTGCCAAGTGAGAACTTGGAATAAGCATATGATGGTGTTTAAGAAGCATGTAAGATGGCTGAAAGGCAAAGGAGTGTTCGCAAATACAAGCAAAAGTGGCAATAAGAGCAACTCTGATACATCATTACCTTATTTAAAAAATAATTCTGTACTGATTATACTTTACACCACTGCAATCAAGATCACTATGGAAGTATTCTCTTTGGTTGTATAAACATCTTATTGTAAATGCTGTTTTTTAGCCAAAATCTTGGGGTTGCTGAGTCAAAACTTTTTTATTTTGTTTTTTAAAAGTTCTTTGTATTGGAAAATTTTCTCATCTATCACTTCTGGTGAATGAGCATCTCTGCTCTCCTTTGACATTGTCATCATTTCCCAGTGTTTTCTCAAATGTCTTGTGTTTCACTTTCTGTTCTTTGGTTTGTTTTCAGAAGCAGAATAAAAGCTCCCAGATTTGGTGTTACAGAATCACAGGATGGTAAGGTTGGAAGAGGCCACTGGAGGTCATCTAATCCAACCTCACTGCATGCTCCTGTATAGGCTCTGGACATAAAGAATTGCTGTGGTTTTCCCAAAGACAGCCTCCCAAGCTGTCTGTATCCTTGTTATTTCTAGTTTCTGTCAAGCAGGAGGGGGAAGGCAGGCTGTGATCTTAACCTTTTGTTCACAGGAAATTTCAGTGCACACAAGAACTGCAGCACCTGAACCAGTGCGTTCACCTTCTCACATGAACAAGTGCTATCAGCAGTAGGCAGCTCCATTGTCTGGTAAAGACCAAAGAAAAGCAAGCAAGCAGCAGCATGTCTCCCGCGGGCAGCCAACAGTGAGAAGAGCTGCTCTGTGCAGGTTGCTTTGCTTTGTTGTTGATTCCATGCATTGCTCTCTCCCACCTACACTGGGTTGCTCGCTGTGCTGTGTGCAGGCAATTTCCTTAAGAGTGTTGGTGTATTCTTCTGATTGTCACTCCCTCTTTCTGGGAAAAGAGTAAGCTATTCAGTGGAAAATGTTACAAGTTTATATGAAGAGATTTCACCCTTCCTAATAATCTGCCATTTACTTAGAAACGAAAAGGTTGTGTAAATATTGAACTACCCTGTTAGTCACTATTTACTTACCATGCAGCTTGTTATGGTAGGAAATTTGCTAGGCCGCCTTGTACAGTTCATTTCCAGAAAATCTTAGTGGGAAAAAAAAAACCTCCCAGATCTTTAAAGAAATTCTTGATCTTTAAAGAAATTCTTCCTTGTATTTCTACAGTCTCACAGACTGTATTTCAGCTTTTTCTGTTTAAAGCATTAATGTCAAGCCAACTTGTTTGTGAGAGAGTCAAAGCTGACTCTTCCTCTGAAGCAGCAAGCCCAAGGCTTATGTGGGCTGCTTTCAGAGGAGAATATGAGATCTATCAACCAAAGTTTATCTGAGATTTTTCCTGCTCTCAAGTGATCATCTTACCAAAGCTGGTGAGTCTTCTCCAAGGTGAGTGGCTCAGTGGAGATCACACTAAGTGTTTAGAAGCAGCTTGCAGACAAAGCATGTCCAGAAAGATGCAGCTGCCTTGAGAATGGAAGAGCACAGGTTTTGACCATGGACATATCAGTTGTTTGCAGTATGTTCTGAAATTTAGCCTGTCTCAGTTGGAATAATAATTGAGAAGGATGACTTATTTCTGAACCTTTTCTTCTCCAATCCATTTGCAGTGGATTTTTTCACCCTAAGTTTCATAATAGAATAAGTGATGGAAACTTGGTCCTAATCTCTATTTATAACCCATGTCACTTGGTAGCTAGAAAATCACTATTCCTCCAATATTTAAACAAGATAAATGCAGTTAGGTCCACTTCTGAAATCCTGTACTTTCCTGCATTGTCACATCCTAGTAAACATATCTCTTGCTTACTGTGGCCATCAGAAGTTGATGTGGCCTGATATTACTAAAGTCTTGGGCTGCTTTCATTTGCAGTTAATTTATTGCAGACAAGAACAAGACAGAATTGTTGTTATTACCGCATTGAGTTAAAATGCTTCATGTTAGTGAGCTTTCATCTCCTTTTTACAGACACTGCTATTGACAGAGGTGCCCTTTACACCTGATGCTTTCTCTCATTTTCACCCACTCAGATTCTCTGAATGTCTTGGTTAGACTTGGGAAGCTCAGTGCTGTGCTGCAGGGTCGGCAGAGTACCAGAATAATGCAAATAGCTGCAACAGCTGAATTACTGTGCACATGCATAGCGTTCTTAGGAATTCTTTAATAAGCTAATTCTAGTGCATACATAATTTATAAAACACATCAGTGAACTCCTGCAGCTGTGCTGGGCTCCACTAATTAGCCCAGCTAATGCTATACTGTTATGAACAAGAACTCTGTTTCAAGCATCTGAGAAAATGGCAATTCTTTAGGGGGAAAAAACCAAAACCAAAACCCCCCAAAAAAACCAAAAACCACCAAAAAAACCACCCAAAAAACCCAAACAACAACCAACCAAACAAACAAAAAACCAAACCAAAACTAGCACCTCACCCAGTGCATACATACAAAACCACCCCACAGTGCTTATGAAGGCTCTAGATTTGCTCAAGTTTACTTCAGTGGTTGTGCAGGTCAAAAGCAGAAAGGTCCCAGATGTGGTGTGTTCTGTGGTCACAGGAAATAAGCAGTCTGAATTTGATGTTTGTACTTTGCCTGATTCAAGTCAAGGGCTTGAACTTGGGCCTCCTGCTGTTCACTTGAGCATCCTAAGCATCAGCATATTGCATTATTCAGGAGTGGGGTACTTTTGTCTGAAATGCAAAGAGAATGGAAACAGTTCCACAAATACCTGGAGCAGAGCCTTGAGCCCAGCTCTGTTGGTTTATGGTTTCCTAAGAAAATGCTAGAGGATTCTTTTTCCCATCTCTACCTTGTGTGATCTCTATTCCAGAGAGCAAGAATGAGATGTTGAGCCAGTCTTGTATGCATGCCATTTGTCTTAAATGTAGTAGAATGGTCCTTTCCAAATTGGGTAGAGTGGATATGATTTTTATTTATTATTTTCCCGTAGAGACATAATACCTACCTCCTGAGTGAGTGTCCGAGCCAGTGAGCTGTTCATTTTGGGGTATGGCTGGCAGGCTCAGCTCCTCCATCTCATTAATATTTTCCTGTTCAGTTCTAGCCTGATGCGTCTGTCAGCAGCTCTGGAGTAGCTGTGCAGGTGTAGGTTGGCATTGTTGCTGCTTCCAGAGCCGATCAGAGTTGTGCCCTTGCTGAAGAGGCCATTTGCACAGTGGCTGTTAAGAAGTATGTGGTGCGAATGAGTAAGAAAATTTTGTATGTTCCTATAAACAGGTAGAAAAATGCCTGAATTTGAACTTTTGAAGGGGGACCAGGTTCCTCGCAGCCAGACAATGCCTCTGGCTATATGTCTAGCACTTTCACGATCATATGCTATGGGAATTGTTGGTTTCTATGTGTAATATGGTCCTGGGACCACATTACTATGAGCCAGTGGTTTGCAGCCTTTTGCTTCACAAATGATGGCTTCTTATTAGCAGCATTAACAGCTGAAAGCACTAGCTCTTACATACTTACAGGGTTTGCATTTTGGCTGTTTCAAAATGATCAAAAAATATGATCTTTGGGAAAAGTCCTGTGACCTGCTTCCCGAACAAAGACTGAAATAAAACTTGCTTCGAGGAAAGCCTAATGCATATTTTCAAAGAGCTTTGGCTTTAGCTCAGCATTTAAGGTTAAAATACTCATGAGATACATTTTGAACTCTTTAAAATATGGATGTATGGCAGAAAAGGAAACAGCATGAGCTTCAGAACTGAATTCTGTCAGGGAAAGGGAAAGGAGTTGAAATACATTTAAAAACAAACAAACAAACACCTCATACACTAAATACCAATTGACT